AACATCCTGTATTTCATTTTTAATTCGAGTATGGGTTGGGTACATTTGGTAAGCAGTAACATTATTATTTTATATATCAACTCCTAAGGTCGTTTTATTAAAGTTCAAATGAAATAAAGCTGGAAAATTCTTCTTTATATAAACTATAGATTTATACATTGAAAAACCACTGTATATAGTCATATTATTTATTATGCAAAACCCGACATACATACTTATCTTCACGCACAATCCCTGATGGGGTAGTCAGAGAGAACAGATCGCCAAGTGTCACGATCCTTACATACCTCTTTCGCTTCTTTCAGATTCATCATCTTCTTCATACATGCACGTCTAGGTATCCGAGTACTCTTGACCCTCCCCTCTTCGAGCAATTTGCTCACATGGTCTTCGAAAGTTAGTCTCGGTCTACCTCGACATACATAAACGTGTATATCTCATTGTTAATCCGATTGCTGGTTGGATCTTTTTTGCGTTACTACATCCACTTATTTATATATTAAGGCGATAAAAGGCATTGTTCTTGTCATGTATTTCAATGAATCGATTGGTTGTCTTTGCCAATTGATGAATCTCATATCGATTTATCTTAAAGACCTTTTATTAAAAGGTCGAATGAAGTAGAACTGTGACTACAGATGTGTTGTCATTTGAGGACTAAATTGGAGTACCTAGTACGAGGGTTTATTCTATTAGTACCATCATAAACTGTCTTTTAGTTCAAGGTCGATTACAGTCCCTCACAGGAATACATCAACTTTCATCTCTGCGGTAGCCACTTACAATCAGGTGGACTTAAATTCGTTTGTCACATCACTTTTATAAAAAAAAACTTTGGCTTAGAGACCTTAATGTCTATAATGTTGAGTATTTCATAAACCTGTCTCCACACCACAAAATTTTAAGTAAATAATGGACTCATGCTGCAGGAGATATTATGGTGAATAAGGTGCCATGAGTCTATACTATGCAAACTGGTACTATATACTAAACGAATTTAACCATATTCCCTACTCTGGACAGGCAAATTGGTGTGCGTGCCGGTAAGGTTAGAAATTTAAAAAAAATGGCATACTTAGGTAGGATTTGAAAAGGTGAATTCTATTTATCAACTAGTAGAAGCAAATTTTCTCCCGACGCTATAATTCAACGTTGAGTGGAAATTAAATCAGCACTTAAAATTGCAATTATCGTTTCACTAATGGCAACCCATGTCGGCAGTTTGCCAGCAATTTATAGCACCTTTATAATATTGAATCCGCCCCGAAGCGACCATAAAACAATAATCGAAGGTTCAAACTCATGTTTATATTACACAAAAGATTTCGAGCTTCTTTCGATGCCTTCATAACTTAAAAACAATTAGACCTGTCTTATGATAAAATTTTATATCAAAATTAATTGTGGTATAAAATGATAGAAGTAAAATAATTCATTGTAACATAATATACAATATGTTATTATATACAATGTTAAAAAACTACAATAAAAAAAGTAAAACTAATAACTTAATTTTTTCGTACATATGGCGGACTTAATGCCTTAAGGCATTCTCTCCCAGTCCACCATTAGGCTAAGCAGAGATAAACATATGCGAGGTAGTGCAGCAAAAGTAAACTAATAATGAGAAGAAAAAAAGGTAACGAAGTTCGAATAAACCAGAATCTTCTATATATATATAGAAGATATTCTATACATATATCATAAAATGTAAATATATTAATGCAGACGTACACATACATAAATATACTTAAATACATTAAATATATAATAATTATCATATAGTCCTACTCCCCGTGGTATCGTGTCAAGAACGCTGGCTGCGTTTCCTCGCTGAAAAGCTATACCTAGCCTTTGAGCGGGAAAATAAACAGCCCTCTTATCAATAGCAGCATCAACCAGTCATGGGTGGAGTTCCTTTAGGAACTTCACTGCATGGCTGGTAACTGGACCGATAGCCTCTACAACAAAAGGCACAAAAATATAGTCATCTCTCAGAGACTCATATTTGTACCACATACTCAGTTCAGCGGTCTCTGATGCTGCCCTGGCTGTAAACGAGGTACCCCTGAGATGAGAGGCCACCAAAGTGTCTACTCAAGTAGCATCCCACAATAGGGCTTCGTCAAATACTTAGATGACTCCACTATAAGAACAATAGCACTATATAAAAAAGTCTCCAGAACAGCGAGAGCTCAATGGAGATTAAACTCAAAAATTTTCAGAACAATTTACCACACTGTTGTAGAGCCAATAATTCTATATGCAGCTGCATCCTGGGGCTCAGTAGCAAACAAAGTACAGATACGCAAAAAAACCGGCCAAGTGCGAGTCGGACTCGCGCACCGAGGGTTCCGAACAAATCCGTAGGTATATAAGTTTAAAATTATTAAAAATATTTTTATTATATGATGTAACTAAAAATTTATGCTTTTCGCAATTTTTCCTTTATCTGTGCTATAATACCTTGCTACGTACCAAATTTTAAGATTCTGAATTCACGGGAAGTACCCTGTAGGTATTGATTCCCTTGCGAATGTCGAGAATTTGCGGCATAAACGGCTGTATCTTTTGATTTTGTTGGCTTAGAAGTTTAATTTTTTCACAGCTCCAAGGGACAGTAAACTTGAGTATTTGATATAAATTTCAGCTTGATACCTCTACGCGTTCCTGAGAAAAAAGGGTCTTGACACACACACAGACGGACAACAAAGTGATCCTATAAGGGTTGCGTTTTTTCCTTTTGAGGTACAGAACCCTAATAAAACTTGACAGTGTAACTAAAATGTTCAGCATCTTCATCTGCAAAGCACACCGTACATCCTCATTGATCTTCAGCGCAGCTTTTGCGAGAATTATACCTCTGGATTTAAGAGCACAAGAGCAAAAAAAAATTATACCTAATAAAAGAGAAAAACCACTCATTCATCTATATAACTATGTAAAAAGGAACACCGCGGAATACAGAAACGTACATATTGTCAAAAACCAAAATACAAAAAGAACAGGAAATGATGAATATGAATGGGAAGAATAAGAATGAGAAAATGATGATGTAAAATTAAAACCAGCAGAAGTAAAAGATCTGTTTGTAATATCAAAATAACAGCTTTTTACTAAATACATATGAAAGTATAGACGGTAGTTATAAGAAAAAAAAATTTTAAAGTTTAAGTTTAATAATAATAATAATCTCCGAAATGGCTTGACCGATTTTGAAGGGACTTTCACAAGCAGATAGTTGATGTTATAAGGAGTAACTTAGGTTACTTTTATTTTATAAAAAGAATTAGGGTTCAGCGCAAAAAAATAAATCCCTAAATTGAACGCAGTCGAAGTGGCGGGGAACAGCTAGTTTTGAAATAGTAAAAACAATGTGAGGCTATAGAACTTGGCAATCGTTTAGATGATAACTCTTTTATCGGCGAAGCCGACAAACCGGGTCGCCCTTTGACCGGACTTTCACATCATAGGATTCTTACTCTAGCTCTATTTAAATATAATATAAGTAAACTAAGCTATTGTAAGTGTATAGCGTAATTTTATTTTTTAAGTAAAAAAATATTCAATGTAATATCAATTAAATTATTAATGATGTATTATATTGCTCTTTGAAATTGTTTTTTTAAAATGATTGGATTCCAAATTGAATTGGATACCATCCACACCATCTGGATGATTTGCGGTCCACCACTGTGCGATTTAGAAGATGTTTTCTTCCTCGCACGACCTCCTTGTGGAATCGATTACCATCAGCGATTTTTCCGGACCGATACGACTTAGGGACCTTCAAGAAAAGAGCGTACTCCTTTTTAAAAGGCCGGCAACGCATCTGCGATTCCCCTGGTGTTGCAGTTGTTCATGGGCGGCGGTAGTCACTTACCATCAGGTGAGCCGCATGCTCGTTTGCCCCCTCTCCTATAAAAAAAAAATGAGGAATAGGATTTGTGTTTTAATTTTTTTCTATAAAGTTTATTCTGATATTTTAGCTTAATACTGTATATTGTGTATTAGATAATTCTAAGTTAGTGTATAGAAAATGTCAACTGTCCCAGTTTATTTTAATTTTTATTATATATGCTAAGACTAGTTTTTTTTTTTAAATACACGGTTAGTAAAGTTAAAGCTCTGCGCTAATTATCTTGAAGTTTTAAACCGAGTTGCATAATTTTTTCTTGCCTTTATATTATACTTTCGGTCAGATGATTGACTGAAATACGTAGAATGATATGTCCCGGTTGGAATCGTTATCAAGCTAATTAAAACAAAAGATTTTTTTTACTTTTAGATAACTATTTAAATAATACGTGACATAAATTGATCATCAGTGATACTACTCATGACAGATAATTATATTATTCTAACCTATTTCCACCATGGCGATACCTTCCCGATTTTAATGGTTGTTTTTTTTAATAGGGTGTCACCCTTATCCTATTACACAACAAGCACACAGTCCACCTGATGGTAAGTGGTTGCTGTGGCCCATAGACATCTGCATCTATCCTCGATTACGAATCAAAATGCAGATGCGTTGTCACCCGTGAGGACTAAGATGGAATGCCTCTTTTCCAGTAAAAAGGGTATCCGGTTCTCTACACTCACCATACGAAACACAGCAGCATTAAGCTGCTATTTTACGTTGCTATTCTGTGAGAGCGTGGTCCTTCCCCGGTCGAGCCGACCCATTCGTGCTACAACTATACCAGTAATATAGCTGCAGCATGGCTCTACCACGTAAACGTTATCAACAGCGCGGCCAATATTAACACTTACTCGATCTAATCTGTCTACACCCTATACCTACACGAACACTACGAAATAGAGAGCCAGTTTAATAAACATGTGAAACATTCTATCTTAGTTTTTAGAGGTTACAACGCACCTAGCCTTCTTTGTTTGAAGTTGGTTACAAGTGTCCACGTACAGTAAGAACGAAGTGGTGTTTTATAAGTAAAAGTTGAGTCAGCTAAACGGACGGACTTTGTTTTCTATTACAGGGCATCAATGTGGACAAACGCACATTGGTCAGTGCAGAACGCAAGCAAAGAACTTTTACAGATCGATCCCAGCTGAAGTATGCACGAAGGCTCGTTGTTAAACTTGGGAGTGCGGTGATAACTAGAGAAGATGGAAACGGTCTAGCGTTGGGTCGATTGGCATCAATCGTAGAGCAGGTGTGTATTATAAAAAAGTAACTTAAAATGACGTTTACTGGTTTCACAATTATATATAGAAATTGGATTTATAATTTTTTTATTATTTCAAAAATATACCTATTAATCACAAAGCCGTGATAGGCCAGGGGCTAAGCATATGCTGTAAATTTTGCAGTATGCAAACCACCCGGGTATTTATCGGGAGATTAGAGTTAAAACATTATTTAAGTGCCGATTTACCGGATTTACCAAATGCTCGGCGGTAAAGGAAAACGTCATTCATTTATTTATTCTTTATTGAAACCCCTTATTTAAAAAAAAATAAGAATGAGTACGTATTCTCACAAGCATGGTTTCGGCGTTATTTGTAATATACATATTGTTCTGTCTATATTTCTTCGTTGATCTAAGTTACCATGCTTTTTCAGGTTGCTCGGTAGATGCAAAACTGATATAGTCATACTGGCATACTATTCCTATTTGCCAGCCAGTGCGATTTATAAGATATTTATTTTAAAATCGATATATTCCCATTATCTGAAGAGAGTAAAGTAAACGAAACTATCTTACTATTTTAGGTAGCAGAATGTCATCATGAAGGTCGAGAGTGTATAATGGTGACAAGCGGTGCGGTGGCTTTTGGAAGGCAGAAACTTACGCAAGAATTACTAATGTCACTTTCAATGCGAGAGACTTTGTCACCGAGTGATCATACCAGAGAGGTAAGGAAATATTATATGAAATTCTAAATTTAATATCTTTTTAAAATCTGGAAATAATATATGTAGATTTTTGTATTTAATTTTTTTTTTTCAAAGAAAAATATTTATTTGTAACACAAACGTAAAAAAAAACACATAAAAGACATAAACACAGTAATTTAGTTACAAAGAGAAAAAAATATTTTATGCTATTAGTGCACCAAAAAGGTTTCCACTCAGCGTTAAATTCACGAAGTTTAATAATAAAAAACTTCAAATGCATAGGAAAGGCTATAACTTGAGATACAATTAGTACTTAGTGTTGTCCCCTCTAGCTTCGAACTGCTTCCAGTATCCTTGGTATATTCCTAATCAAGTTATCAATAAAATCTTGGAAGATTCCGTCCCATTATTTTTGTAATGCGTTTTTAAGATCTCGTCGCAGAATTCATTTTTTTAATTTGTCTTTAAATCTTATTCTACCCATACTCTATGGGGTTTAAGTCAGGTGAGCGTTAAGGCCACCCCTTAGCATTGATTTCAACGTCTCAAAGGTATTCGATAACTACGGCAGCAGTATGGGAGCGTGCATTATCATACATAAAACAAATCGATCACCTACAAAATGGCACTAAAATTTCTTCCAAAATATCAGTTTCATATAGTGTACTGTTAGTGACCCATTCTCGATGACGTGGAGTTCCATACATGCCCTCATATGAATACCCCATACCATAACTGATCTTTTTTTTACTTATTATAAGCCAGTGCTTGACCATAATCCCACCTGGTGGTAAGTGGTGATGCAGCCCTAGATGGTGAATCGCACTGGCTTAGCATAACCAAAGCCTATTCACTCTTGCAATGAAGACACCCAGATTGTATTCGTATGGAAAGATAGACTCCGGCAAATTATTCCTCTCCTTTACTAAAAAGACGAGGCAAACCTTTTGGTTCTAAAGCGTGGAATATCGACAACAAAGGGATGAAGACCCGACGACCGCCTGGTTGTCCGATTCCTGTCCATATTCCTGACATATACCTCATTTCCAATAATGTTGCACTGAGTGTACCTCTCTCTCTCTCTCTCTCTCTGGCTTCTCTACACTTTAAACCTTCCATCATCGGTGTTAATGTAAAATCTGGGCACATCTAATAAATGGAACTTGACTCCAAGGTTCGTCATTCCAATTTTCGTGATTTTGAGCAAAATTAACTCGATTTACTCGATGGCATGTGGCAAGAAGGGAGCCTCTGGCAGACCAGTGCCAATTTATTCCGACCGATTTCTTTTTCTCGCAGTTTTTGTGCTTACTGTAACCCCTCGAAACGCCTTCTTAAAGCTTCGTTCTTAACACAGAAAAAGTTAAGGTTTGGTTTCTAAGCACGCTCGTAACGGTGCACAGGTCATCTCTGGCCATAGTTTTCCATTTACGTACTTATCCTGCGAGTCTCGTATACTGGCCGGTCTGCCGATACCTCTTGATAACTCTATGTACCACAAATTTTGATACTAATAATGTTTTGTGTATGTAGGTGTGCACAGTTTCAATCTGGCATTTCAGTTTATTTGCAGTAACAGTTAACACGATAAACACAGCAGTCAAAGCAAAATTTTTTGCAGTATGAAAGAATGCAATCATCATTATTCATCATAATTACAGCCCTGTACAAGTCAACTACTGAACATAGGCCTCCTCCAAGGAATGCCATAAAGCACGGTCCTGGGCCACCTGCATATATCGACTTCCTGTATGTCTTACCAGGTCGTCCTCCCATCTCGTAGGGGACCGCCCACACTTCTTTTTTTTTTATAAGATAGGGTGACAAACGAGCAGCCAGTCCACCTGATGGTAAGTGGTTGCTGTGGCCCATAGAGATCTACATTTATCCTCGTTTGGGAATCAAAATGCAGATGCGTTGTCACCCGTGAGGACTAAGATAGAATGCCTCTTTTCCAGTAAAATGGGTCTCCGGAGTGTAGAGACACTCATCATACGAAACACAGCAGCATTAAGCTGCTATTTTACGCTAGTATTCTGTGAGAGCGTGGTCCTTCCCCGGTCGAGCCGACCCATTCGTGCTACAACTATACTACTAATATAGCTGCAGCATGACTCTACCACGTAAAAAAGCCTTCACCTACCGGTACGATATTACCACTCGAGAACCTTTCTTGAGAGAATTTTACCCGATAATTCCATAAAAACCAATTAAATTCGATAGTAATGTTTCTCAGCAGTATACAAGATAATTACAATAGGAAAAATTAAAACTTATTTTTTCTAAATTTGTCGTTGAGTTTATTTCATTAAAATCCTAAATTGTCTAAGAATATTCAATCAGAAATAGGTATTACTAAATTTAATGTGAGTAAGGATGATGTAGTAAGAGACCTTTGCCCATCGCCGAATAATAAATTAACCCTAACTTCCTCGTTAATAATAATTTAAAAGAGAAAAGAGTTTAATTAAAATACAAATCAAATTATGAATAAAAATTACTCGATCGTTCATAATGCGTACACAATAGAAATGAAATAATTTAGCAACATCTGTCTTTACATCCAATTACTACGGTGTGTCTATGGCAAGACGGAACAAGTTTTTATTAAGTTAAGTCGAATGATGATGTTGATGACGATGATGATAATTAAGCTACGTCACGACTCGAAATTTGGTTTGCTTATATTACTATTATAGTGAGTTGGAATAATTTCAAGCACTAACACTTTGCCATGTAGTGGTGGCATAAGAAACACATTCAGTCGGTGTCAAGTGGCGAAATAGGTAAAATGAAACAAGAAGCAGGAAGCAATATATTTCCGATAACAGCTCAAGATAATAAAAACTGCAGTTGCCAACTTGCTTGCCAAGCGTAGCAACTGCAGTGAAGCAGTAACAAGTACACGTACTAATTGCTTTACCAAGTTAAAAATATTGTCTATGGTCTTTTTTAATGCCCGAATACGTGTATTGTTTTATTCTCACATTATCTCTGCTATATCTCCACAGGATGCAGGGAGCATTTTGGATCCCCGTGCAGCTGCTGCTGTGGGCCAATCCGAATTAATGTCAATGTACGATGCAATGTTCTCGCAGTATAACGTTAAAATAGCTCAGGTAAGATATTTAATTTAAAAAAGATATGTAACCTCCTTTAACTTTAAAATTATCATTATAAATGTAATAAAAGGAAATATTATTACGATAACATTTTTATTGGTTTACCTTTAATAATTATTGCTGGAAGTTTTGTTTGTTCACACAAATTTCAGTATCTGTTTCCATAACATTACCATCGCAAATAATAAACGACGGTTTTACTGCTATAAACGAGGTTATATCCGGCTGTGGTTATAAATCTGCGATTACTTACAGACCTTATCACGAAAAACCCTTATAAAGGTTAATATTCCACGTGCGCTATAAAGTTAAGTGTTATCACTGTACAAAGTAGCAATATTGTGACTTCGGTATACCAATTGCGTACAATAAGGAAAAGATTACATATTTTCGATATTTTCGATTACATATGGTGAGTGTAGATTACCGGATACCCTTTTCGTTGGTGACGAGGCATTTGATCTTCATAGAGGAGTTATGTAAGTGTCTATGGGCTACAGCATCCACTTATCACCAGGTGGACTGTGTACTCGTTTGTCGTCCTAAATTCTATAAAAGATCTCTTTTTGAGAAAAGCTTACGCCCAACGCCCAAGAGCGGTCAATACACCGTGCTGTTCTGTTGCAGCCTATTAAAGTCCACTGCTGAGCATAGGCCTTCCCCATAGATTAAAAAATATTCATATTTTTGACATTAAAGAGAATAATTATGTTGACACCTAAAATACTCTGAGTGATCAGTCTTGTAATCAAAGTGACCAAAGATTTTTTATAATAATATTTTTACAATGTCAGTAATGTTGAAATAACTGACTAAGGGACCTTCAAGAAAAGACCGTACTCCTTTTTAAAAGGCCGGCAACGCATCTGCAATTCCCTCCCTGGTGTTGCAGTTGTTCATGGGCGGCGGTAGTCACTTACCATCAGGTGAGCCGCATGCTCGTTTGCCCCCTCTCCTATAAAAAAATTAAAAAAAAACTGGCTTTTACTAAGCTCAGGGGGTATTTGCATGATATTAAGACACGAATAACAATTTTTAATTTTTTTTGTCTGTCTGTCTGTCTGTTCGTGCTAACCTTCGGAGTGGCTGAACTAGTTGCAATGAAACTTCATGAACAGATAGAAAGTAATTCCAGAATTGATCAAGGCTATATTTTATCCGAGAAAATGCAATACATATATATATATAATATTTTTGTGCCACCAAAGATGCAAAACCAAAGAAAGTACACTTTATCTTCTATCTCTTAAAGTTTTGATACAAAATCATTTTTGACATATTTTTTTTACTTTAAGACCTTTCAATTTATATTTTTAATATTTTCCCATATCGCAAATAGTTTTCAAGATACCTAACAGCAAAAAATCTAATTTAAAAGTGGTTTTTCGATAATTAAACCACTTGCCCAAAGACCGTTATTAGATGGGATTGGCATGTCATCTCTAATAATAATCCAAAAAAGGAAAGAAAGAAAATACCACTATTATAGATCTGCAGGTTTTTTGTTTAAGTTCAACTCGGACGAAGTCACAGATGAGAGCTAGTTATGCACATTATAGTTTAAATACACTCATTCTTATTTTAAATAATTCTTATTTTAAATAAACACAGTTCTTATTTTAAATAATCTGTTTGTTCCAGGTTTTAGTAACAAAACCCGATTTTTATAACGAAGAGACTAGAAAGAATTTGTACGCCACCCTTTCAGAACTTATATCTTTAAATATTGTCCCCATCATAAATACAAATGATGCTGTTAGCCCGCCCATGTACATTCACGATGACTCTGTTGTTCCGGGGACTGGAAAAAAGGTAGAGTATAATGAAACCATTTTTTCTACGTTAAAAAAAAAATAAGAAAATACGATGCGAAGAGTTTAAGTGCTAACCATAAATTACCATGCTTGGGAAACTACGAAAATTGCTACTGCAGTTTAAATGGCAATTTATCATGTGCTCGGCGGTAAAAAACATATTGAGGAAACCTTCAACCCTGAGAAACATGTAAAAAAGAAACCTCATTTTCTCTACATCTTCGTAATATCAATAATTGGAAAGTGACACAAAACTTTAATCTACGAAATCTATACAAATAAATAAAATTGAAGTGCCTGTTTGTAATGTCAAAATAAAATATTTTTACTAAATGCATAGGAAAGTGTATACGGTACTCATAACAAAAATAATTTTATTTATTTTTTCTATCTGCCTGTCGGTCTGTTTGTTACGGATAATCTCTGGCTAGACTGATTTTGACGGGACTTCCATTGGCAGATTGCTGATGTTATAAGGAGTAACTTTGGCTTTCTTTATTTTAGAAAAACAATTAGAGTTCTGCGTAAAAGTAGTAATAAATTCCGCGCGGACGAAGTCGCAGGGACCAGCTAGTTATCCATGAGACTATAAGGCCTAATCGATAAAGTTGAAGCGACAGTAGCCTGATGCCTCACTCGCAAACTCGGAGTCTTGGATTGGAAGATCCACCATTCGTCTACTGTGGTGAACCACTTTTAACACAAGCATTTTTAAGCTTAATTAGAGTGGCTCACGGGAGTATTAGTAATGTTAATAAAGATTTTTTTAAAGCGTTTGCTTCCATGTAGTTCCAGTAATTTGCTAGCAAATATTTTGAAAGGTTCTATGAAAGAAAATATATAACACCCTAATTACTTTTTTACTAAACATAAACGAAACTCCTTGCTACGACATGAAAATCAATATACATATTGCGCTCGTTTGTCACTCTTAAGTAGGAAGCAGACTGCGTGAGACCTACTTCTACCTCAATATTTAACCATTAAAACTATCGATTTAAGACTATCTCTTATCCTTCTTTTATGATTTGAAAATTTTAATATTGTGCAGTAAAAATTGTCGGCCTTTTGGATACTTTGCTGGTTAGGAATTACGCAGACCGTCATAACCGTCAATATCTGCTGGACTGCTTCGTTGGTCTAGTGGTCGGAAGAGCGACCGCTTATCATATGGTCCCACGTTCGAATCCGGGATTCGAAAAGATCCGGAAGTCAGGCCAAAATCCGTTATTGCGTTTTTCTCTCAAGAAATTATCAATAACAACCGGGAGTTGGCGCTTCCTGAAGTTGGTGGTGTATTACGCCCCGCATCTTGGGAAGCAAATTAAGTCCTTGATCCTGCGCCTGATCTCTTTCCTATCGTGTTAGATAGTAATTCAATTAGACTATGAGAGTACTATGAGACTATGATAGGACCTATGGATCTGAGACGTGGTCCTTCACTGTTGGCCGTATGAGGAAGCTCAAGGCGCTCAGCGAGCTACGGAGAGGGCTATGATCGGTGTTTCTCTGCGTGATAGACTCTAAACACGAGGATATCCGCAGTGGAACCAAAGTAACCGACATAGTCCAAAGAATTAATATGCTGTAGTGGCAATGGGCCAGCCATATAGCTCGAAGAACCGACAACCGATGGGGAAGAAAGGTTCTACAGTGGCAGCCTCGTACCTGCAGGCGAAGTCTAGGGCGTCCCCCCGCTAAATGATGTGACGACCTGGTAAGACATGCAGGAAGTCAATGAATGCAGGTGGCTCGGGACAGTGCTTTGTGGCATTCCTTGGTGGAGGCCTATGTTCAGCAGTGGACTTGTAAAGGGCTGTAATGATGATGATTATGATGATTATGAGAGTACACTATTTTTACGCACACACTCGTGCACAATAATCATGTCCTGAACAGATAGCTAGTCTCCTTTGAGACTGGCCGCTGTGATCGAAATTTGATCTGATTATTATTTGGTAATAGATTTTTTCAATAATACACCAAAAGCCATATGACATATTTCTTTTTACCATGCTTAGCAGGCGATTTAATCAGAGTAGTGCCAATAGTCACGCTAGTGATATTACTCTAACCACCAGTCTGTGAAATTTAGATTTAACTCATTTGGATGGACCTTTCGACATGAGTCTGTTACCAGAGCTTGTCGCTTTCGCGGGGATACCTTGCAAAGTGAACGTTATAAAACTTTATAAACACTTTATAAAAACTTGTTGAATTCCCGATAACTACCCCTACAATAAAATACTTACGACCATTGAATATTAATTGACTGTCTTATATCACTTTTATGAGCCATCTAATTTAAATTTATATTACTTACAGGGTATTGGTTTAAAAGACAATGACAGTCTCTCAGCTCTGCTCGCAGCAGAAGTACAAGCCGATTTACTTATAATGATGTCTGATGTTGATGGAATTTATAACAAGCCCCCATGGGAAGATGGTGCCCGTATGATACACACTTACACTTCCAAGGACAGGGATCAAGTACAGTTTGGTCAAAAATCTAAGGTTATTCTTTTTTCATTGTTAAATTGAATTCAAAAAGATATATCTGTGGAACTTTATATAAGTAAATGTGGAATAAATTCTCATTTTATACTTAGACATATATACATATTTAGACGGCGTCGTGGCGCAGTGGCCTAGCAATGAGTTGCAGTGCTAAGGGCCGCGGGTTCGAATCCCGCACGGGACAAGTATTTGTATGACCTATAAATAATTGTTCTGGGTCTGGATGTTTGTCCTTGTGAAATCTATGTATGTAATCTGCCCCTGCTATACAGGAGTAAATCCTAGTGTGGAGGTAACGTAAAAAAAATAAATGATGTTTATACTACGTCTATCATTATATTTCTTTGTAAAATTTATGGAAAATTCGTGACAATTAATAAAAATATAGTAATAAAGCTTAGATTATATTAACTTTGCATGTCTCTTTGTTGATAATTCAGAAATGCTTGGTTTCAAAATTACCTATTTTAACCAACTTCAAAAAGGTGGAGGTTCTCAATACCAGCGTATGTTCATTTTCTGCCGACTTCAAAAAGGAGGAGGTACTCAATTCGACTGTATGTTACCTCATCACTTTGTTCTAAGTGAACCGATTTCGATGATACTGTTTTTAATTAAAAGCTAGTACTTCTCATGTGTTAGACCACATTATACCACATATAAATTTGATCATGCGCTGACCAATAGTTTTTAAGTTATCCCTAATAATATATATTGAAGTTGGTTGTACAAAATTTTTTATTTTAAATTATTTGTATTTATGTTACGCAATATCTTCGCAGTTTGTGAACCGATTTTAATGATTATTTATTTATTAAATAGGCTTTACATCAAGGCAGATCATATTAAATTTTGAAGAAAAACTTTCGCCCTAAAGGGTGGAAAATAAGGGAAAAACTTTCATATTGGACTATTGTTTAAGTAATTTCATATGATATCTCCGTAGATTGAGTACCGATTTTAATTATTCTTTTTTATCAAGTAAGTTATACTTGAGAGTGGCCCCGTCTAAAGTTCTCATCTCTAAGGATAGCAAATAAATAACTTATTTTTTAGCAATTTGAAGTCAGTTTTTATTTTTGTTAAAAGTTATAATTATTAAATGTATATTTCTTAAATAATCACAGGTTGGGACTGGAGGTATGGATTCTAAAGTGAACGCAGCAACGTGGGCAATGGCGCGTGGTGTTAGCGTCGTAATTTGCAACGGAATGCAAGAAAAAGCTATAAAAACAATAATTAATGGCCGAAAAGTGGGCACTTTCTTTACAGACCATGTTACTTATTCATCAACTTCTGTTGATGTGTTAGCTGAAAATGGTATGTAGCTTCAACATTTTGCCTTTTTATAACAACATAATTATTTAATGACAAAAAATCTATTTGAGATTATCTTTTTCCATATATTTGAAAAAAGAATAACAAATTTAGTGCATGGTTTTTAAATTTCAGCTCGAACTGGTAGCAGAGTTTTACAACAATTAAGCCCCTCAGAAAGAGCATCAGCTATTCATACTTTATCTGATTTGTTAATAAATAAACAAGATAAAATACTTGAAGCCAATTCAAAAGACTTGGAAGAAGCAACTAAAGGTGGTCTTGCGAAACCGCTTTTAGACAGATTAGCACTGAGTGAAGGAAAATTAAAAACCTTGTCTATTGGCTTAAAACAAATAGCTGATTCCAGTTATGAAAACGTGGGAAGAGTTCTACGGAAAACAAAGCTAGCTGAAAACTTAATACTTAGACAGGTGACCGTCCCGATTGGTGTTTTATTAGTAATTTTTGAATCCCGACCTGATTCACTACCTCAAGTTGCTGCTTTAGCCATGGCATCAGCCAACGGCTTACTTCTAAAGGGTGGGAAAGAAGCAGCTAATTCTAACAAATCTTTGATGGAACTTGTTAAGGAATCTCTACATACTGTTGGCGCAGCGGATGCAATATCACTAGTTTCTACACGAGAAGAAATAAGTGACTTATTATCCATGGAAAAACACATTGATCTTATAATACCTCGTGGCTCATCTGACTTAGTCAGAAGTATTCAAAAACAATCGCAACATATACCTGTACTTGGACACGCGGAAGGCATTTGTCATGTATATATAGATAAAGATGCAGACCCAGTAAAAGCTTTGAAAATAATTAGAGATTCGAAGTGTGACTACCCAGCCGCTTGCAATGCTATGGAAACTTTGCTTGTTCATGAAGATCACTTATCGGGTTCATTGTTTACGGATATATGCAATATGTTAAAAAATGAAGGTGTTAAAATACACGCAGGACCAAAACTTGCAAGTCATTTGACTTTTGGTCCACCTCCTGCAAGAACTATGCGGCATGAATACGGTGCATTAGAATGTTGTATAGAGTTAGTTAAAGACATGGATGATGCCGTTGAACATATACACAGATTTGGAAGCTCACATACTGATGTTATTGTAACAGAAAATGGTAAATATTTTTTTTAAATTTAATATCAATTTATTAAGATAAGCACACGAGATGGAGTATCGACGGGTGGTTCAGGACCGTGTTCTGTGGCATTACTTCAGGGCTATGTTCAGCAATGGACAACATTTAAAAGGTCATGGTGGATTTTATGGGTTTAACCTTTATTCATTTTATAACTAACCTGATAATGTGGGTATTCTTGATGTCGAGTGGAACGACGCAAATAATTTCTTGTTGCCAGCTAGAGTTGCATTCGATCCATTCCCTATAGAGCTGACGCTCATATTTCACGTCCAATATTTGTGATAACGAATAAAACCAAAGCGTTCTGACGTGGTAGTTACAGCAAATTTTCCGTATGCGGATTGACAAAGATTTCTTTTTAAATGAAGTAACAAACGAACTTGGACTCCAGCTGATGATAAGTGTCTACTGCAGTCCATGGACACCTGCAGCCAACTTCAAACAATAAATACTAAAGATATGTTGTCACCTTAAGGATGAATATGGATCTATACCCTTCAGCACATCAGTGCAGCACTGCTATTTGACGGCAGAAATAGAAAATCGTAGTCAAAACAGGAGTATATTGTAGTAGTGTCTGATATTTGTATGGAATATCAAACAGTACCACAAATATTTAAAATTTATTGTGGATTATATTTAAGATTCATTAACAGGAATACACGTGAGATGGGATTAATAAAATCCCTTAAATCCAAGTGTACCACATCAGATATTTTCTTTATAAACCTATAAGAAATTATAAAATAATATTTTTAACGTGATATTACAATGTCTTAAAATATGCTATACGTAAAAATTAAATTTCATATTCTAATAAACGTTACAGACACAACTGCGAAGAAATTCCTTGGAGTTGTAGACAGTGCCTGCGTATTCCACAATGTGTCGTCGCGATTCGCCGATGGATTCAGATTTGGTCTCGGTGCTGAAGTCGGCATCTCGACAGCTAGGATTCATGCGAGAGGTAAAAAAAATTACTATAAATTCCGTATTGCATGTATGTACTATGTATATATATAATGGATTCACAGTAATAATGAATTATAAATATTGCGACCCTAAACTAAATACTAAAATTCAAATAATTAATGTTAATTCAAATATTTTAAAAAATAACAGGTCCAGTGGGAGTAGAGGGTCTTCTCACTACAAAGTGGATTCTCGAAGGGACTGACCACACAGCGGCGGAGTTCAATGAAGGGAAACGGAACTGGTTACATGAAACCTTGCCAGTTAATTGATTGTAAAGTTTGAAATACCTTAAGTATTAAAGTTTAATTTAATTAATTAAAATTTAAGGTTTCTATAAAGCAAGGTTTAATTAATTAAAATTTACTTTAAACAAACCTAGACTGTAAAACAAATAGTATTTAAGAAACATTATTGTGAAAATACATTTATATTAATTCACTATTTTATTATATAGTGGCCTGGTAGTAAACTAATTTACTACATGGAACCTAGCACTTCATACGTGGGGTATATATATATATATATATATATATATATATATATATATATATATATATATATATATATATATATATATATATATATATATATATAACTTATTTAAAAATAAGAGTAAAAATTATGTGTAATTAGAAAAAATATTAATGTAGTTAGAATAGTTATTAAGAATCAGTAAACTATATTAAGTTGGACTGTGATGTAAGATTTACGTAATATTATAAAATAAAAATTGTAATAAAAAGGCTTTTTAAAACTTTTAAGAGGTTTAAATGCGGGAAAATTAAGTGCAAATGACGAATACAGAATTGAATATTGTGTAATAATAATACCCTCCATACCCAATTGCGATCATCCAGCCATCTATTAAGGAAATGATTATAGCGTGTGAGTGTGTGCGCAAGCACATATGCACTCTATTTTCCCTCACTTTCATTGTCTGATCTGATGGGACGGTAATCCGACACAGCCGGAGAGATCAGGCTCAGTATCAACGGCTTCATGTGCTTTCCGAGGTACTAGATATGTAACGGGTGAAACACCGCCAATTTCCTGCCTCCGAGCTGCTACTGAAAATTTCTTGAGAGAAAAACAGATACGATACGATAACAGCTTATGATGGTATAACTATCTTGTTTACGACAGTCTGAAAATATCTAGCCTTCGGTGGGACAGCGTCAAATTTACGATATGTCTAGTATAACCAACCAATCTGCCAAACGTAGCGGTTAAGGCAAATCCTACCAAGAGGAAAAGCCACTGTTAAATAGAAGACTTCCGGGCCATTTATACGGAGCAATGAAAAAGGTACCAGACGTATAGTATTGCCAATCCATCTACCAAACCTAGAGGTTAAGGAAAATCTTTTAAACAGGAGAGGCCATATTCATCAGAGAACTTTTGCGGGCTTAGTGAAAAGAAAAAGAATAGGAATATAAAAGTTATTGTTCATTTAGCTCGGAAATAGATATTATTTCAATAAAAGCAATAAAATGTATTCAAAACATAATAATCTAAAAACTTGCATTAAAACTTGCGCTAATACCAATTTATAAAATGTTGATAAGACTGACCCTAGCAATTACCGACCAATATCGGTGCTAACAGTAATTTCCAAATTGTTCAATAAAATTATTTACTCCAGGCTATATAAATATTTAAACAAAACAAACTTAATTATAGATTAACAGTACGGTTTTCAACCTAAGTCTAACATATTGACTGCTACCATTGATTTAGTAACGATAATTAGAGAAAGTATTGACAGAAAACAAATAGCTGTGGGCATATTTATCGACCTTAAAAAAGCCTTTTATACAGTAAGCCACAAATTATTACTTAACAAACATAATAATATAGGGATTGATGGAAAAGAACTCAAAATTGTCGAATCATACTTACATGATAGGTGTCAAGTTGTTATGATTGGAAAATTCGAAAGACTACATAATAAAATGGCTGTGATGTGCCGCATGTGTTGCATACTAGGACCACTGTTGTTCCTTATATATGTGAATAACTTTAGTGTAATAGGTCTTACAGGACATATTACACTCTATCTGGATGATACCAGTCTTTTTTATTTTGTTAACACAACAGCGTCTGTCACTAATGAAGTTCAATATGATCTTGATAAAATTAATTTGTGGCTGCAAAATAACTCGCAAACACTTAACACTTCAAAGATAGCCTACATGATTTTTCTGCTAATAATTTAAAATTAAAAATTTTGTACAACCGATTTCAATATAAATTACGAGTATTAAGTATAACTTAAAAACTATTGGTCAAACCATGATTAAATTTATATGGAACCACATGAGAAGCACTAGCAAAAATAAAATCACTATAAAAGCACTATAAAAAAAGAAAATCGGTTTACCCAGAATAAAGTTATGAGGTAACACACATAAAAAACATACAGTCGAAATGAGTACCTCCTCCTTTTTGAGATCGATAGAAAATAATAAAAATGTCGATCATCAACCTCTACTTATAGGTAATGAACCCATACTCAAGTCTAAAAAAGAAAAATACTTAGGCCTAATCCTAGACCCCCCCCCCCGAACGGGTTCCCGCCTTGTCGTGGCGGGGGGCTTAGTAGCCGTGGCTTGGTCACCCGCGGTGAACAAAGAGGAACCCCTTGGCTGGCCCGGGGTGTATGGCTGGCCCGAGGTGGCTACTCCGAGTAGGCTTGGCGAGCCCACTTCGAATGTGTGTCGGTGGGCTGCTGCGAAAGCGGTGTCCTCTCCCCTTACCGCTGCAGCCGAGGGGGAGTCACGGAAGAAGAGGAGTGTTGGTATGGCGATGCGCCACTCACCCTATTCTCCGCGACTCTGACGGGACCGCACCGTTAATTGATGCGGTGGTGGTGGGGCTGCGGGGGGAGAGGAGTGTCGATATGAATCTTGGTTGGCGGCGGAGCCATAGACCAGATCCGCCGCTGGGGTCAGAAAGGCTGGTGTTTCTGAGTGCTAGTTTTTCCTGGCCCCGTGATCTTCGCGCATCGGACACGGGGTCGTCCGTTGCGCATGTGAAATTGGAGGCCGAAGAGGAGGGCGTGCCATGTGTTTTGGTGCGCCTTACCTGAGAAGGAGATGGGGAGGAGTAGTCCTCTCCCGAGGAGAAGCCGCCATGGGGCGGCCAGCGCAGGTGGTGCCGCAGATGTGTGCGAAAGCGTTCCCGTGGCCCTGCCAATATGCGACGAAGGTGGAACACCATGGGGTTTTAGTCGGTGCGAGTCCGACATAACCCGTCCTTGCCCCCGCGAGGCGGGTATGCGTAGGCATTTCCCCGTGTAAAAAAATGCCTAATCCTAGACAATAAATTAACCTGGGAGGTTTCCATATAGATAATCATCATCATTCATCATACAGCCCAACAAATCCACTGCTGAACGTAGTCGCCCCCCCCCCCAACCCCCCACCCCAAGGAATGCCACAAAACACGGTCCCGAGCCACCTGTAACATAGATAATATCCAATCTAGATTAACGCCTTTAAGAGGAATTTTAATAAAAATAGCAAAATATTTCCCACAATCAATTAATAACTAATATAAAATAGTTTTGTAAAGCCGCATTTAGAATATCTAATACAAGTATGGGGAAATGCCGCAAAAACCAACTTAGATGTACAGAGAAGTCAAAATCAGCCTATTAAAGTACTATTTAACCACCATTATTTAACACTAACGGATAAAATCTATAAAAATACTGCACTACTTAATATAAATAAACTTTATATATATAGTACATGCATATAAGTTAAAAAAATACTATTAAAATCAACCCATTCACTAATAGCTTTTTCTAAAAAATCACACCTATATTGTACTCGAAATAGACGCTGCCTATCTATTAAACCGACATGAGAAAGAAAAGCATAAAGCTTGAGAGAGTGCAGCTATACAACAAGCTGCCTAACGATGTGAAAGAATGTAGCGCTATTGCATTATTCAAAATACGCCTGTTAAATTACTTATCCTAATTTATACTTGTTTTGGACCGCACATTTTTTTAATACTTGTTAATTGTTAAGTAAGTATAAATTAACTATTTATCACTGTTAAGCGAACTTTATATTGTTCTTTTGTGATAAATAAATGTCTTTAACCAGAATAATGTGTCAACCTGATGGACTATGTCAACATACCTCTCTGTTTAGTGGAGAATATTCTACTAGATAAGTTCCCTTTCGCACTGCAGTAGTTATGTATTACAGATTGAAATCGCCGCTCTGCTACAGCGTGTGCGGACATTATTTAAGTGAGCCGCATGCTCATTAGCCCCCTCTTAAAATATCACATGTCCTTAAAACATTTTATTTCTCACGGTCTTCACCGCCAAACACGTGGTTAATTAGCACCTTAAATTACAATTATCAATTACATTGGTGCCGAGGGGGATCAAATCCGAGTTGCAACGTACTGTGAAATTTACAGCAAGTGCAAAGTACATCTATTCGTTTTTAAATAAATTATTTTTTAAATAAATCTTAGGTAGATTACTTGTACCGTAAAATTTATTTTTAATTCCTTTTTATAGACACTTCGCTAGCACAGTGGCTTAGCAATTGGATGCGGAACAAAGTGGTAAAGATTATAAAGGCCTTTAAATATTTATTCTGTATCTGCGAATTTGTCCATTTATAACTTATGCTGTAAAAACAGTCTCCATAACCCTGGAGAGGTTTCTAAAATGGCAGGTAAAAATTTGAAGAAACATATTGATGCCACAAAATAAGCGTAAGAAACGTAGAAATGCTATATATTATTAACACATTTTACTCCTGAAAAACCTTGTGTTGCATATGAAAATAAATACGGTAACTGATAACTGATATATAATTTTTAAAATTTTTGTCTGTCTGTCTGTGTGTCTATTTGTTCCGGCTAATCTCCGAAACAGCTCGAACGATTTTGAGAGGACTTTCACTGGCAAATAGCTGATATCATAAGGAGTAACTTAGGCCACTTTTATTTTAGAAAAAGAATTAGGGTTCCGCGCAAAAAAAATAAAAACCCTAACACGCGAGCGAAGTCGCTGGGAATAGCTAGTCTATTTATAAAAACGTCCAATTATCGGAAGGTCTGTATAGCTAATGTAGCGCCCATTCAGCGAATCATCAATTTCTTAACGTGCCCACTCATGAATAATATTTGTAAATACTTACGTAATGGATATTAATCATCAAGATTTTTATTTCAAAGTAATTAATGTTGAATTTATAGAATTCAGCAGTTTTAAAGAAACGTCGTTAAAGAACATACC